TTTTATCTATACTTATATCTCTATCTATTTCCTCTTCTTTCGGAATTTCTATTTCATTTAATTCAAACGTCTCATCACTCATAAACACGCTTTCAAAGTATTCCTTCCATCTCCTTAAACTCAAAACTTCGTCATTCAGAATACAGCCATTCTGGTCTCGTATAGCATTCATTCTAGGCTGTTGTGAATGTCCTCTGGTAGTTCTTACGAGTTTCCAGAACATTTTAATGTTTGCCTGGAAGTTATCCGATATTCTTCTATCATTCTCATCCGTTCTTTCTTGCTTTTTCCTTTCAACTACTTCTTTTACTCTTTTATTTAGATGTCTAAAAACTGCCTTTTTCCTTTCAATATCATCATTCATACTGCTAGAATTACTAGCCTTGGTTGCTAGTAAATCTAGCCATGCTTTCTTCTTTGCTTCAACTTCCATCCGTACCTCATCATCCCACCATAACGTGTTATTTTTCCTTTCAATCGTTCTCTTACTTACACCACATACTTCGGTAGCTGCATCCACTAAACCTTTCTTGACATTATACCACACAGTCTCCAAGTCTAAATCATTCATACACAATTCAGCCATACCACTTACATTTTCTCTCAATCTACATTTGAACTTCTCTTTCACACCTTCATCTTGTAATGTCTCTGTTCTTATACGCTGTAACGCAGTGGTAGACACAGATGTCCGATGCCTCCAACGTCTGAAAAGACCATTAATTCGGCATAAGACCAAGTAATGATCCGTCCCTACGTTAGAGCCCCGGTAAACCCTTGTATCTACCACCGCGTTCCTCATTCTTTCATCAACAATTATGAAATCTATCATACTTCTATCATCACCTCTTTCCCATGTATACGTGTGAATCTTCTTGTGACGAAAGAAAGTATTCGTCACAACAAGATTCTTTTCCACGCATACGGCGAGAAGGCTTTCACCATTTTCATTTATACTTTCATCACCATACGTTCCCAATATCCTTTCATAACCAAGCCTCCTCACCCAACCCTTCCATTAAAATCGCCTAATATCACAATATTTTCATTAACCTTGCATTTCATTAGCACCATCCTTACCAACTCCCAAAACTGCTCTCGGATATAAGTGGGCTTAGACATGTCTGGTGCGTAGACCCCTAAAACAAACAACTTCTTTAAGCCCACTTTCATTCGTATCCATAGCAGTCTCGGGCTTACACATTCATACTCTTTCACGCCATTGCGTCATCATCATCATTTCAGAAAGAATGGGTCATTACCCATTCTTTCTGAAATGATGATACCGACTCCCTGGCATGCCCGCTCGGTCTCGTCTACACCAGACCAGTATGCGGTATACATGCCATGTGTAGTGGCATCCTTTCCCTTCCGTTTCGTCTCATTTACACATAACACGTCTATTCCTCTATCATACATCATATCGCATACTTCATCCATCTTATCATTCATTCCTCCACATACATTCAATGTAGCCAGACGGGCTTCCGCAATCCACTTTTCGCCCCTCCGGGGGACAGAACGTGACGGGTGGCGAACCTCGTCGCCGGTTTTCCTCCCGGAGGAGAAGTTGGGAGCAATTATTTTACAACTTGTCACCGGGGTTGCCACAGAAAAAATATCTACCGAAGATGTTACACATGTTCTTTGTTTTATTATTTTCATTTTAAAACCCATTCTCCTCCAGAGATTCTACTATAAGGACTATATCGTCAGCAAATTGAAGGTATGTAGGATGTACTCGCCATTGATGTTAATACCGTATCCTTTCCAGTTCACTAGTTTGAAAATGTCTTCCAATGCAGTGGTGAAGAATTTCGGGATATAACGTCACCATGTCTTACACTTCTATGCAGTTGGATAGGTTTGTACTCTGGTTCTGTAATAGGATAGCCATCGTAGCCCTAGTTACAAATATTTCAGTACTTCGATATGCTAACAGTCAACTTGACACCGCTGAAGGGACTGTTGCACCGCCCAAATTTCTATTTTGATAACGGCATTATAACTAGTAATAACTTTGCATAAAATGAATGAAGTGTTATTAATATTTACATATAAATAAATCTGCAGAAAATCTGTAGCCGTAATGTTTTTTTTTTTAGAAATAATAAGTACAGAGAACCATATAAAAAACACAGACGCCAAACGTCTCTCACCTTTGACTGCTCTCCGTCGCCCGTTTGGTTATTTTATGTCTGACGGAAACGAGATAGTTATAGTGACATAATATATTTTTCCTTAGCCATAAGGTTTTTCAAGAATTTAGTTGGTGCTTATGTCACTTAGTGGATAAGACAGTGTAATGGATTCTCTCAACTTTACAATTATTGTTCTCTCCTTATCATTCAAGTTTGAATCCGAGAAACTCTATGTATTTATGAATGAGCGTAATTATTGATAACTTATTTTTTAGTTCCTTTATCGTTTTTTGTTCTTAATCTAGGCTTTTAAAAAAGTTACGTTATAGTCTATATAAGTACTACAGCTGGGTACACAGCTTCTTGGGTACTATGAAGCAAAAAACCTGACTCTCTGCTTCAGTACATGTTAGCGGTCGTGACATGTTATTTAATTGTTATTAATTCTTTCTTCACGATATTTTCCTTTACTGCTGGGCCTGCAATATTTCAGCACGTAAAATTACGATTAATATTATCATTGGTACCGAGAGGGATTGAATCTCTTGAGCTAACACGACTCTGCCTAATTAAATTTTTTTAAACATTTTGCTATACACAACCCTCGGTTGATCGGCCATACGACATACAACAGCATTATACACATATAACACAGTAGTATAATTGTTATCAAAGAAATGGTGTTGTTTATCTCCTTTTTCTACCAAATTCAAATAGGAGACGGTACTCAATTCGACTGTATGTTTTTTTCCTTGTTTTTATGTGTGTTACCTGATAACTTCCTTCCTTTCCTTTTTCGTACTCTTTTCATTTAATCTATTATATTATATCATACATAATCTTCACTTATCTTTCTTGTATGTATTTTCATATTTTTTATTTTTATTTTGAACGCCCACCTCTATTATTAACTATTGTTTGCATCACACAGTTCTCTACACTGAGGTTCTCTGGAAGAGATCACTTTCAGAGTGATAAGACCGCCTGTTGTACATTTTCTACATTAGATTTAACTGTATTCTTTTTGTTTTGTTTTTTTGGTGTACAATAAAGAGTAAATAAATAAATAAATAAATAAACTTTTTTCTGGATGAAACGATTCCGATGATTCTTTTTTTTATTTAAAAGCTGGTGCTACTCATGTGGTCCTATATAAATTTGATCAAGGTCTGACTAATTTGAGTTATTCTTAATAATTTATATTGAAGTCGGTTGTACCAATTATTTTAATTTTAAATTATCAGTTTAATACTCGTAGTGGATTTTCTTACGTCGCCATTTTACAACACATCATGGATAGGATATGAAGTGACACGGAACTTCGTGGAAAGGATAGGGCATAAATATGGATAGGCAAATTATATACAGATTTGTTCACGTTTTTATATTTAAAAGTCATAATTTATCATTTTATTACTTACTTACTTAATACGATATAATTTATTTTATTACTCAACCTAATTATTATATACCTAATTATTTAATACAATCTCAAATATGAACCTAAGAATGAGCATTAAACTGGTCAAGGAAGCGTATTTTTGTATAGAAATAGCATTGCTACTTTGTGCATATGGATCTGGATCGTATTCCCAGTCTATTACCCTGCTTCTTATAATTTCTTTATATACAAACGCGGATTTTTTTGGAGTTCTTGTCCTGTTGGGATCAGTAATGTTTACTTCGTAAAGCCCAAACCTTTGTCTGAAATTTGATAAATTACTAATCTTTAGTAATGATATGCAAATCTAAATGTCGTACGTTTGATTGCGCCATTCGACTGCTAATTAACCATACATACCAACAAGCATTCGTAGGCTTACATGGAGACAAGTCATGTTATTAAAATTTGATAAGGAAAAAGGATGACAAACGACCACACAGACCACTTGATGGTAAGTTGATGCCATGCCCATAGACATCTACATCCATCCCCATATAAGAAAATTCAGACGCGTTGTCACCCCTGAGGACTAAGATAAAATTCCTTGTTTCCAGTAAAAAGTGGCCTCAGTTCTCTGCACTTACCACAAAAAACAGCAGTATTAGGCTTTCACGCTAATATTCTGTGAGAGCCGTGCTACAATCATAAAATGGCTACAGCATGATTGCCAACTTAGTCTGTGGAATTCTTGATAATCCGAAGATTAATTTCAAAGCCAAGGTCTAAAAAGATTAATTTTTTATCAAACTGTATTTAAATAGAACTAAATCCGCACTCACAAAACTTATAGTATGGTGAAATAGTAGTCAAGTACTGGCTTATAATAAATAAATGAAAAGAATCAAACACGGCGACTAAAGCACATTGACAATTTTGATCTCCCTTTTTGGTAAATATTTTTTTATAGGATAAGGGCGAAAAACGAGCACACAGTCCACCTGATGGTAAGTGGTTGCTGTGGCCCATGGACATCTAAATCTATCCTCGTTTACGAATCAAAATGCAGATGCGTTGTCGCCCGTGAGGACTAAGATGGAATGCCCCGTTATCAGTAAAAAGAGCTTCCGGTTCTCTACACTCACCATACAAAACACAACAGCGTTAAGCTGCTATTTTTCGCTGGTATTCTGTGAGAGCGTGGTCTTTCCCCGGTCGAACCGACCCATTCGTGCTACTACTATACCAGTAATATAGCTACAGCATGACTCTACCACGTTATTTTACTTATTCTAGGCAATTTTTATACTTAGATTTTTAGAGATGTCTATTTTTTATTTAAAATAAGTAAATAACTTAAGTAACTATAAATTATGTACATCAAATAAAATTATCTTATTTCTTTCCTTTTTTGCTTAGTAATAATTAACAGTAAGAGTATAATTCTGGTAGTAATTTGAACATAAAAATGGTAATACTCACACATAACCAAATGCCCATTCAAAATTATCCATAAGACTCCAAGCACAGTAACCTCGCACATTTACGCCAGCAGATATTGCATCTGATAAAGCACTTAAATAATTTCTAAAGTATTGGACTCTTCCGTCGTCATTTAATCCAGTACTACTAGAAACACCATTTTCAGTAATATAAATTATAGGATTATTATATGTTTCTTTTATATACACCAGAAGATTGTAAAATCCTGGTGCATGCTCCTGAAAATAAAAATAAAACTTATTTTTATAATCATGTTGAGACGAAAAGACTGAAAACTATACATAATAATTAACGGAGTATAAATGTACAAATATAATATAGGCAATAATATCAACTTGAATTAGTATCTCTATTGGTGTACTTTAAGTCATAAGTATAATTTTATACAAACCCGCAACCAAAGACTCGCGCTGGATGGCCAACTCGGATCTTTGTACGTGCCAAATCCAGCATCATCGTTTAAAGAAGGTACTTCGTACTTTCCAATGACGGAAGCATTTCTGTATACAAAGTCACTTGTATAATGATTCAATGCCAAGAAATCTGCTGAACCTCTTATATAATTTATTTGTTGTTCATTAAATGGACGTAATCTAGAAATTTGATAACCTTGTGTAGCGCTTTTATTTGCAATGCGATCGATAAAACGTTGCGGGTAATTGCCTTGTTCCGTAAATATAGGATCCATAAACTGCCCGAGCTGAAAAAAAATGTACAATTTATTCTTCCCTATATTTTAATCATCTGTGGCACCACAAGGGAACAACGTAATTGCTGATTTCCCCATACTCTGCAGTAAAGAAAAAGCTTGTAAGCCAAATTGCATCTATGCGAAAGAAAAATATTGGATCTGTGGGAACTAACTTATCATAAATAAAATAATCTTCTTAGAAAAGAGAGGAGCCCATAAATAAAATAGATTTATCAGTCAAAATAGATTGTAAATATTAATTATTGAAAGTTATTTCTTAAGTTTAATTTTACACTAGTTATACAAATTTCACAACAATTTATTGTCTCTGTCTCGTGAAAAACTAGTAAAAAGGCCAGCGGGATGCTTTAAAAAAGGTGAGTTTACATTTAGATATATACATACTAGATTTGGCCAATTTTAAAATGGGCCAAATTAAGAGTACCTTTATCCGACGAGCGTGTATGCGTAGGTATATGGATGTGCAAGAAGAGAGAGAGGTGTGTCAGGATCGTGCCAAATGAAATTCCATAGTCTCTGCCTACCCCTCTGGGTGACAGGCGTTAGTGTTTATGTTGTATGTATACTAGATTTAACCCGCGGCTCCCTTTACTCATGTCTTAATAAAAGCTTTCTTATTCAAGTTACAGTCTATATACATCTGCTCAGAAGTGAGGCTTGTGCCCACTGCTGGGCACAAGCCTCACTTCTGAGAGGGTTTTAGGGCAAAGAAGTGTCCGCCGTGTTGTCCCACTGCGTAGTACAGGTTGCATGCCCTCCCATTTGCGAACTTCAAATGTCTTCGAAGTATTTTTTTTATTTCTCAAACATGCAGGTTTTCTCACGATGTTTTTCTTCACCGCCATGCACGTGGTAAATCAGCACTTAAAATTGCAATTAACAATTTCATTGGTTAAAAGCTTTTAGAAAAACTTTTTTTTTTACTTCGCAAATATCCATTATATGGAAAAAAATTTTTTCAAAAAAAAAATTTCTAAAAGCTTTTATATAATGGATTTCCGCAAACTAACGCCTGATTCTCATAATTAAATTTCATTGGTGCCGGCGGGAATCGAACCTGACTTGCTCGCATACTATGAAATATACTGCCTCTGAGCTGCCACGGCTCATTAATTTTTTTCATTAAATTCATACAAATTTCTTATAACTGAAATTAATTTAATTAATAGAACGCGGAACGCTTTACTACAACAAACTTCTATAGACTTTTACACTTCAATAAATTATTTGTTTCACTCAGCGTAAACGTGTAGATTTTATGCCTTAGAAAGAATAAAAGCAAGTGAGCAGGCTAGAGCTGATCATGAGACAAACATGGCGTACCCAATTTCAAATTTATATTTGATTTATAATCATCTAGGTACGATATTCTTGTGTAACTTATTTCCATTTTATGATGTTGTCTCTAAACTAAACATCCAATTAATGATTTAAGAGCAAAATATTTAATAACATAAAATACTCGACGTAATACAGAGATGGATTCGATATGGATTTACGTCATAGTATCAAAAAATGCGTCAATATTACTGCCTAGATTTGACTTTAAACAAAGAAGCAGATAATGTAACTAATCTTTTATAGATAAGCTTACTGTATCGTGGGATTTTTTAAGATATTGCTAAGAAGTGTAATTCTTTAGTAAATTTTATAGTTCTACTAGCTCGCCAGGCAGACGTTGTTCTGCCCTTTCCAACGACCCTTCCTGTAAAAGTCCTTGAATTCGCAATAAAAAATTTTGAGGGTCATTTATCGGGATAAAAACTATCCTATCTCTCAAGTTGGACCAAAATACACACCGTGTGCAAAATTTCATTGAAAACAGTTCAGTAGTTTAGGAGTCCATCGGGGACAAACAACGTGACACGTAATTTTTATATATAAAGATTATGGCTAACGAAGAGCATGCCACAAAATTAAATTTTATGGATGTATAGTAACATCTCAGTCCACTTATATCTACAAATAAATATAGTTGTTGCCTTATAGTGGTTTGTAACTTATAATATTACCACTTTTCATCAAAATCCGCTCCGTGCTTTTGCGTGATCGAGTAACAAACATACGCACATCTAAACATCGATACGAAATTTCATATTTATAAAATTATAAAGGCTAACAAGACGTAGTACAATTATTAATGTATTCCCTAATATTGAAATATCCCTTCTTACACCGTCTTCCTTAAGATAATATTTAAGTTTGACGACATTGGCTTGAGATGCTCAAAGTTAAAATAGAGGCCTTACTTATTTTTACTTTGAGCACCTAAAATTCATTTCAAATATTTTAATACAACTAGATACTTGCACTGTCACTTACATGGAACGCAAAATAATCAAGAACAGCCTCAGCATCATCCTCAGAATCAGTGACTGGATATCCCCAATCCATACTTAATACTATGCCGATTTGTCCACCTTGCCACTTGAATTCGTTTTGATATATGTGATAAGCCCTTGCATGAGCCAAAAGAATTTGTCGACCGCATTCATAAAAACCTGTTGCTGGAAGATATATTCTCGGAGCATGATTAGTTGTAACATATCCTTGATAACAGTGTATATATGGCTCATTTATAGTCAACCAATGTTTCACTCTATCGCCAAAATTCTCATATAATACTCTCGCATAATCCCCGAAAATTTCCACTAAATCTTCATTTAGCCATCCACCTTGTTCGCTTAGATTTTGAGGTAAGTCCCAGTGATACATTGTAACAAATGGTGTAATACCATTAGCTAATAGCTCATCAATGAGCGCATTATAATAGGCTATTCCATATGGGTTGATGTAATCAGCACGACCGTATGGCAAAATTCTTGGCCATGATATTGAAAATCTATAAATGTTTACACCCAATTCCTTCAGCATTTCAACATCACGTTTATATAACTTATATGAATTTGCGGAGATGTCTCCATTTGTATTGTCAGCAATAAAGTTTGGATCGGTTCGTACAAGATGATCCCACATCGACCATCCTTTACCTAAAACAAAAACACGTGTAGTAAGAATTAATAAACGTTATTGTAAGTGTAAATAAGATATAATTTTGTAATACTGTAGTAATAAACGAACTTTAAGTCCACCTGATGGTCCCGCAGTCCATGAAAACCTGCCCATTTCAAGAAAAGAAGGCAACAGATGCGTTATTAGCTCTTAATACTCGTATAATAATAATAATAAGTCTCAGTCTGTAATTATAGTGCAAGCACTGCTATTAGGCGCCATAAATAGTTTAAGTCTTTGTACGTACCAAGACGGACTCATAGGCAGAAAAAGAGTCCTACCGCGTAGTAAAAATATCGTAAACTATTAATTTTCATCACAACCATCATTATCATTATTTAGAGCTTACTGCACTTCCTTTTACACGAGCAGTCTATGGGTGGACAGAACAGAAACGCAGGTCACAGAAACAGTACAATGCCCTGCGTGTTCAATACAATAATGCATTCAGGTGGCTGTTGGGTCTGCCTCGTTACTGTAGTGCGTCGGGTATGTTCGCGGATGCGCGTGTGGATTGTTTTTACACCATGCGTATACGATGCACATCCCTGGTGCGCAGGGTGCGGGCCAGTTCGAATGGCATCCTGAGAGCATTTTCTGACAGGTTTGATTGTCAGTACCTGAACCATTGTCTGTCTGTCTTAGATATAGTTTTAGAATTATGTAAATAGTTTTATGTTTACTAACATTAGTTTTAAGATTTGTATTATTACTAACATCGATGATCCTTGTGGTCGAATTAATATTTTATTTATATTATTGTCCATTTCTACCACTTACTACATTTACTACTACACCAATTGTTATGTATCCAGATTAAAAAGTATGGTCAAAATTATAGTTACAGACCGTGAGACGTTTCAATTTATTAGTTGTGAATCCTAATCTGTAACATTATTTAAAGTTGGTTTAAGTTGCCTATTGGACTACAGTCGCCGCTTATCGTCAATAACACAATTTCAACAAGTTTAGAAATTGCATTAAAGCCACGTTGAAAAAACCTAATTTTTCCCTAGCTAATCAAGGGACCAAATTGGTCGAAGATTGACATTTGGAAATAATAAACTCTCCTTTAATGGAACTGACTGTAGGTCCAGAAGAGGCGCCCCAACCTGGGACGAGCCGCGAAGTGGTTGGCACGTCTGTAGCCGGACCACAGTCAGAAACGAACCAGGGAGGGGAAAAGAAAAAGTTCACTAAACCTTATAAGCTTAGTGGGGCAGCACGGAAGAGGTACCGAAGGCTGATAGCAGCTGAGATAGGAACAGAATAAGCCCTCTTTCTCTCTGCCAGGAGCCCTGAGACGAAATTTCCCTGCCCAAACCTCCCTCAGTTCCGAAGGCGAAAAAACAGAGTCAGTCTGAGGAGGAGTCCCCCAAAGATCAGCACAGGAAATATGTTAATCTGGCAATGGGGAGAACAAGCTTAGCTTCAATGCCGTAGCTGGCTCCGCGCATGTAGGAATTCGCAATTCAAATCCTATGAGCGTGGAACAGATGCGGCTGGTCCATCGGGCACTAACGCAGGCTATTGCTAAGACGGCCTGTGGAGCGCAGCCGGGAATGGGACCAAAATTTTCGGGTTTCATCCATAAGCCTTGTTAGATTCTGGTAACGTGCCTGAATAAGGCAAGCCAGGACTGGATTGTGGGTGAGATCGGAAAACTGAAACCCTGGGCGGAGGCAAAGCCCTCGATAATACCCAAGAGCGAACTGCCTAAGCCTCAATTAGGCATCACCTTTCTGCCCCGCATCAAAGCTGACTATCCAGAGGAGGCGGCTGTGCTGTTGAGAGCACAAAATGTAGGGCTCCATACGAGCTCTGGAAAATCCTCCACCGTAGGAACGAGGAGAATGGATTCCTAGTAACCTGTTCTCTGGACGAACCATCGACGGAGGCTTTCCGGGCGGCAGGTGGCAGAGTTGTCCTAGGCTTTAATATGATATCTTTTCAGGTTAGGGGAGGCTCCGACACGACAAATCTAGCCTGAACCGTCTCAACTCCAATCTCCCCAGCCCTCCACCTCGAGGGGTGAGACTGGAACGTCATCAGCGAGAGTGATTGTGACCCAAGGCGCTGATCTCGCATCGTTCCGAGGGCCTCCGCTGGTGTCGGCCCGAAGTAAGGGGAAGGGAGGTGGGAGTGGTAAACCAAGAGGTACGGCGGGGTTCAATAGCGCCAGTTAAGGACGTCCTAAGCAGGCGAAAACGACTCCTGCCCCCCCCCCCCCCTCCCCACTGACTAAGGAGTAAGCACAATGCCGAAATTGTGGTCGGATATAATGCTAATGCTCAGCACACAGTATGGGGAAGCACTAACATCAACGAAAGAGGTGAGTTACTTTTTGACTTTCTCATGTCTTATCGCCTGGTAAGACTAAACTTAGGGTGTACACCAACCTTTGTAACGCGTGCTAGGCAGGAAGTTTTAGATATAACCTTGCTACCAATAACATATCCAGACGGATTACTGACTGTCATCTTAGTAGTGAAAACTCGATGTCTGATCACATATACATTAAGTTTTTGATAAGAGCATCATCAACTTATGAAATTGTTGCTTTTAGGGATCCAAAAGCGACCTCCTGGGATGTCTACAGAGATAGCCTAAGGAATAATTTCGAAACCTTTCCTAAAAGCATCTAAACGATTGAAGGTCTGGAGATAGCGGCGGAGACGGTAAGCGTAGGTATCCGTAAAGCTTTCGAAGACAGTTGTCCCGTCAAAATCAAGACCTCAGCACGAAAAGTTCCTTGGTGGAACACTAAGCTTAAGGAGCTTAGGGAAAAGACCAGGAAACTATTCAATAGGGCTAAAAAAAACAAAGAATAGGATATTTATAGTGCAGCCCTGACCGATTATTATAAAGAAATTAGGAAAGCTAAGAGTTGAGTCTTTGCCTCGCATTGCAAGAATACACAAAATGCTATCTAAAGCTAAACCTAATCAGAGCGGGCTTCTTAAAAAGCCTGATGGTAACTTCACTAATAGTGAAACGGAAACACTGGAGCTACTAGAGTCAACCCGTTTCCCAGGGTCACAAAAGACTTTAGCCTCGAACTCTTTCAGAGCCCTACAAAGACATTAGGGCCGAGCCTGGTGCAGAGGGCTGTTGACTCCTTTAAACCATATAAGACAAGTGGGGAGGATGAATTAATGCTCATACATCTACAGAGATGTATCGATATCCTTCTTTCTTATCTGGTGAAAATCTTCAGAGCAATTTTTGCATGGTAATATATTCCAGAACGATGGACAATTGTCAAAGTTCTATTTATACCTAAGGATGGTAAAAAGGACTACGCTTTACCAAAGTCCTTTAGACTAATAAACCTTCTTTCTTTCTCCTTAAGCCGTTTGAAAAAGTTATAGATAGATGTATTAGAAATGTAACTCTAGCTACGAGACCTATACACTACAACCAACATGCTTAACACAGAAGCAAATTTACAGAAACAGCCCTGGTTAGTGTTATTGACAAGGTCGAAAAAGCGCTGGAGGATAAAGAAATAGCTCTTTGTGCCTTTCTAGATATTGAAGGCGCTTTTGACATTAGCCCTATATCACTGCTGGTTGGGGGCCTGACATCTAAAAATGTTGCCCCCACAACTATCAGGTGGGTGAAGTCGATGCTCTCAAACAGAAAGGCAAAAATAGATGTGGTTCAAACTTCGATTGAGTTTGCAACTACGAGAGGCTGTTCACAAGGAGGTGTTTTGTCACCACTCCTTGGGACTCTTGCGGTTGACCAATTATTGTACAAGATGGCAGACCTTCGCATTTACACACTGGGTTATGCTGCTGGCCTTGTGATTATTGCGAGGGGTTTTGGCCAAAGTATTTTATCATTAATCATACAAAGAGTGCTAAATACCATAAACAACTGGTTCAGGGATAACAGTTTATCAGTTAATGCTGATAAAACTGTTATATTACTCTTTACCAAAAAGAGACGTTTGGATAAATTAGTCACACCAAAACTTAATGGTAAAGAAGTACCTACCATAATCTCCACGGAAGTTAAGTACTTGGGCGTAACAATCGACCATAAAATAAAGCGTAACTCTCACCTAAGCAATGTATGTCATCATCATCATTTTTCATCATTACAGCCCTTCACAAGTCCACTGCTGAACATAGGCCTCCCCCAAAGAATGCCACAAAACACGGTCCTGAGCCACCTGCATCCATCGACTTCCTGCATGTCTTACCAGGTCGTCACTCCATCTCGTGGGGGGACGCCCTACACTTCGCCTACCGGTACGAGGCTGCCACTCGAGAACCTTTCTTCCCCATCGGTTGTCGGTTCTTCGAGCTATATGGCCGGCCCACTGCCACTTCAGCTTACTAATCCGTTGGGCTATGTCGGTCACTCTGGTTCTACTGCGGATATCCTCATTCCTAAGTTTATCACGCAGAGAAACTCCGAGCATAGCCCTCTCCATAGCTCGCTGAGCGACCTTGAGCTTCCTCATACGGCCAGCAGTGAAGGACCACGTCTCAGTTCCGTAAGTCATCACTGGCAACACGCACTGGTTGTACAATTTCGTTTTAAGGTTTTGAGGTATGTCTGACGAGAAGATGTGTCGTAGCTTCCCGAACGCTGCCCAGCCGAGTTGAATCCGTCGATTGACCTCTCGGTCGAAGTTGGACTTACCCAGTCGGACTATTTGTCCCAGGTAAACATACTCGTCAACAACTTCGAGCTTAGTGTTCCCAACAACTATCGGCATAGGTGTGACATGGACATTAAACATGATCTTAGTTTTGTCCATGTTCATCTTAAGACCTATCCGTTGGGAAACACTATTGAGGTCATTGAGCATAGTGCTTAGGTCCTCCAGCGATTCTGCCATAAGGACTATATCGTCGGCAAATCGAAGGTGAGTGATGTACTCGCCATTGATGTTGATACCGTATCCTTTCCAGTCCAGAAGCTTGAAAACGTCTTCCAATGCAGCGGTGAAGAGTTTCGGGGATATGACGTCACCCTGTCTTACACCTCTCTGCAATTGGATAGGTTTCGTACTCTGGTTCTGTACTCGGATAGCCATCGTAGCCCTACTGTACAAGCACTTCAACACTTCGATATACCGACAGTCAACTTGGCACCGCTGAAGGGACTGCAGCACCGCCCAAATTTCGACGGAATCAAAGGCTTTCTCATAGTCCACATACGCCAGACATAGTGGCAAATTGTACTCTTCGGACTTCTGTACAACTTGCCGAAGGGTATGTATGTGGTCTATGGTGCTAAAGCCTTTTCGGAAACCGGCTTGTTCGGGAGGCTGGAAGTCGTCAAGTCTGCGCGCGAGACGATTCGTAATGACTCTCGAAAACAGCACGTAGACGCGGCTCAGAAGGGAAATCGGTCTGTAGTTCTTCAAGAGAGCGTTGTCACCTTTCTTGAAGAACAAGACCACCGCACTTCTGCTCCACGCCTCCGGTGTAATGCCACCATGGAGGACGGAATTAAAGAGCTTCTGAAGGACTTCAAGTACCGGTCTTCCACCCGCTTTCAGAAGCTCCGCTTTAATTCCATCCTCGCCTGGGGCCTTACCGTTTTTAAGGTGCTGGAGAGCCATCCTAATCTCGCTCAGACTGACATCCGGGATATCTTCGGAATAGTGTCGGATGAGACTCGCTCTTGGATCGTTACTCACACTTGCGTGTGGCTCCAACGATGATGTGTACAGCTGCCCATAGAACCTCTCAATCTCACTCAAAATCTCAGGTGTCCCGGAAACGATGCTGCCACATTCTGTCTTCAGCTTTGACAGTTGGCTCTTTCTGGCAGACAGATCTCTGGCAAAGACTTTGGAGCCTTGGTTCCGCTCGATCGCTTCTTCAATACGAGCTGTATTGAAGTTGCGTAAGTCCCGCCGCATGCATTTGGAGATCTGTCTGTTCAGATGCCTGTATGCTGTCAAGTCTGTTGAAGAATGTAGCTTCATCTCCCGTCTAACAGCCATGAGATTAAGAGTGTGATCGGAGAGTTTTTGTGTTCTTCTGCGGCGGGTCTTGCAGAACTTAGCTCCAACCGCATGGACAGTTTCCACGAGCTTGTCATTCATATCGTCCACTTCATTGCAGTCTTCTAGGCACTGAAAACGGTTTTGTAACTCGAGCTGAAAGGTTTCGGGACTTTGAAACAGAGCACGAGGGGGACGGAGCGTTGACTTCATTAGACGAGACCTCTCCAACTTAACGTTTAGGTTCAGTGTGCCTCTAACCATTCGGTGATCGCTACCAGTTTTCACCCTCGCGATCACGGAGACATCACTGAACAGTTGTCGTCTGGTCGTCATAATGAAGTCAATCTCATTTTTTGTGGAACCGTCGGGGCTCGACCAGGTCCACTTCCTGTGGGGCCGCTTCTGGAAGAAAGAGTTCATCATAAAGAGTCCCTCTTTCTCCATGAAGTCGGCCAGCTGCTGGCCCCTTGGGTTCCGTTGCCCTATTCCAAATTTCCCTACTTTCAGCTCACCGTTCTCTCTTGTGCCTAGTTTTGCATTGAAGTCTCCCATTAACACCGTATATTGGGTTTTGGAGGAATGCATGGCTCTAGAGATATCCTCATACATTTCCTCCACCTCCTCATCGGGGTGTGCCGAGGTTGGTGCGTAAACCTGTATGACCTTCAGCGAATACCGTTTGGTGATTCTTCAATGTATGTCATAAGGCTAAAATTGCTTTAGGTACATGAAGGCGCAGGGTCGGGAGCAACTGGGGCTTGCGTTCCCTGCGTTGCGTGGCTGTAAAGCAGCATAAAGAGGCTGATTTTTACCTACGCCTCCTCTGTTTGGTGTAATAAGGCCAACCAAACAACGACTGCGGACAGACTAAATAGTCTACAAAGGATTTAATGGCATTTGCTTAATGGCAACTGGAGCGAAGCAATCATCGCCTGGAGCGGCTCTTAATGCACTTCTAGGCCTAACGCCCCTTGATCTTTACTTAGAAAAGGAGGCGAGGCCTAGTTTGTATAGGATTAACGCTCAGGGCGGTTTGAGCTTGCTTTCTTATAGATTGAGATCCATGCTCGATTCAATTAAGGAAACACCGCTCTTAGGCATGATCTCAGATATCATGCGTCCACTTTTAACAAAAAGTATACAGTGAAACTACCCTCCAGAGAAGACTTCTATGATATACCGATGGGTCAAAAAGGGCCTCAACAGGCTTTGGCATTTATGGGGACCACCCCAAATTCAAACTTAGTATAATCGCTATACTTCAGTGTGCGGAAATCAATCTGCAAAAGCACTACGTTAACCATGTAATCTATATTAACTCTTATAGTCAAGCAGCACTGCTACCACTGAGATCAAACTTGGTGAACTCGAAACTAGTTGGAGACTGCTTGAACCGTCTAAACACCCTGGGAGGTAACAACAAGATCGTTTTAAGATGGCTTCCGGGTCACGCGGTTATTGTTGGCAATGAAACTGCCAACAACCTCGCACGGGAGGGCTCAAAGAGTACACGATTTGTACCCGAGCCATTTTGTGGAATCTCAAAAAGCCTCGCCCGATTGACCCTGGAAACTCTTTACTACAATAAATCACTTAAGATCTGGTATGATCACCAGGCTTAAAACATTCTAAAACTTTATTCCGGGTTTTCAATCGTAAATTCGCTTCCGAAGCCCTGATATTAGGTGAAAATAAATTGCGCATTCTGGTAAGAGCCCTGACTGGGCACTGTTGTCTTAAAAAGCATATGTCCATCCTGGGACTAAGCAACTCAAAGATGTGCCGGTTTTGCTCCCTAGAAGAGGAAACGCCTTTACACATCCTAACGAATTGCGGACCCTTAATGCGCAAACGTAGCACTCATCTGGGAAACTATGTGATTCGCCAGGAAGAAGTGAAATCACTCACAGCTAATCGACTTCTTCTATTCATTGAGGAGGTAGGGCTTAGCAGTAAAATGTAGACATAGCAGCGATCACAATAGATCTGACAACATCATAGATATTTATTATATAGAACTTTTGATATTCGTTAGTCCACTCAAAAGGGTAAAAAAATGTTAAAATTTTTATAAAAAGTAAAAGCTGACTTCAAGAACTAAAAATAATAAACTAGCTTCTGAAGTCAAAGCCTTTTTATTTCTTAGATACACTCAACATGAATTGTTTGTATTAAGATCAATGATAATTTATATAGTTTTTCAGTTTCATTCTCTATTCTATTCTTGTTTTGAACTTTTTGTTTATTATATAAAACGTATTCGATATCTACACTATAAATTGATCCTGACTGAGGTTAAGTATAATATTAGATGTCAATGAAAACAGGTGATTTTATACGTATAATGTCGTCCAACGTCATTATGGAAGTCATTATATATATAAAATCACCTGTTTTTATATTCATCCAATTTTTTTTTGTGAATTAATAGTATTTTAATATTTATCCATTATTTATGTTACCTAAAATGCCAATAATACAACATATTCCATAAATACATTTATATTTTACGAGACCACACGTGAATTGTTAAATAGATTGGAACACTAAAATAATACAAAAACATTCCACTTACCATCAGCATCCCAACCACCTTCTATTTGATAAGCTGATGTAGATGCACCAAATTTAAAGTCTGCTGGAAAAGTTTTTGCCTCATATTGAATTTTTTCACCCCTTATATCTGCACTTGTTGGTAAATGATTACTTAAAAATAGAAATTAATTGTTATTGTTTCTATAAAAAAAAATGTCGTAACTATAAATGTATAAAAAGAGACCTGAAAGTTTTACTTGAATTTACTTTTGTATCTGGTTTTAGATATCAATCATAAATTGTAAGAAATTAAAATAATATTAATTCTATTATATATATTAATATGTGTTAATATATTTACCACAATAATAGTGCACAAAGAACAAGCGTCTTAATTTTCATTTTAGTGAAAGTATTGTTTGTATTAATTTTGTGGCGCACTGATGTATATAGTCAAAGGGGGCAATAAATTATTTATTAGGTAATTTAAGAGTATGTCTTATCGTATCTGCTGCTGATAGAGATAAAGTTTTCGTTGTTAAAATCAAATAAAATGTTTATTGCCACTAGGAAAATGTAATGCGCATTTATAAACACATCATATACAAAGTACCTACTCTTAATTAATGAATTATTATTTTTATGGTAATTTTATGGCCATGTCCAATATCTTTGTGTATCTCTATTATGTAATGGAACTCCATTACATAATAGAGGCGATTCATATTTTTTGACTATTTTATATACCACACAATACGTCAGCGTCATACACGCAAAATTCAAAACTATTTTAACGTGTGTTGTAGTTTCAATTACTTTGAAGTATTTCACAATACTACAAAGCGTAAAATGGTTTAAAGCTATTAAAACTTGATTTTCTCACAAACTTGTACGTATGTGGTCGCACCTTCGACGCCACTCTCCGTCGCCAGTCTGAGTATTTTACGTCTAACATTAACGCAATGGCAACGGCGCCATCTGTAAAATGTTTGGCCTAGTTTTTTTAACGAGCACACAGTCCACCTGATGGTAATTGGATGCTGTGGCATAGACACCTACAACTATCATCGATTAAGAATCAAAATGCAAATTCGTTGTCTACATTGAAGACTTAGATGGAATAACAATACTTAGCAGTTAACAATAATTAATTCATTTCCTCGTTTTTAGTCGGTGTTACAACTTGTCAAATAAGTTTAAGCGGAATCGTAGCAATCTTACTAATGGACTTTATAATGGAAGCAGAAAATAGAATTACAGTCGTTACAGTACGGGTTACGTAATTTCTTACTCTTCGTCGTGAAATAGCACCTTACTTGGTGCTTCAGCGAAATCCTACATTATCACAGAAAAAAATTCAGCCCACTCTGTCAGACACGCTCAAATGTGCATTATAAGAATCGGACTCCATTTTGAACGCCTATTAAAATACTGTCAATAAGCTAGTGATTTAATTTGTAAATAGTTTATTGTAAATATTTAATCGGTTTAAATTGTTAATATTTGTAAATACATGATTCCAATTTTTAAATGCGCCACAATAAAGACAGTCATCGGTTATGCACACATAATTACGCATCTATAAACACGTTGTTTGATGCAAATGATTTTATATAGCAGCTATGGGTTCAGTGCAGCGGCGTACTAAAAGGCTTATTGGTTCAGACTGAATAATATGTAAAATGTATATATTTTCTGCCGACTTCCAAAAAGGAGACGGTGCTCAATTCGACCGTATGTTTTTTTATGTGTGTTACTTCATAACTTTTTACTGGGTGAACTGATTTCGATGATTATTTTTTTATTTGAAAGCTGGTACTTCTCGTGTGGTCTCATATAAATGTGATCAAGGTCAGAACAATAGTTTTTGAGTTATTCTTAATAACTTATATTGAAGTAGGCTGTACATATTTTTAATTTTTAATTATATAAGGTTAAACTGTAACATTGAAAAAAAGAGAAAAGTTGTCTACTTGTAAGTTTCTTGCCTCTTCTTCTCACATGGTCTCCCCGCAGTAGAGACTTGTTGTAGCGATGGCGTAGCATTTGACTTTTAAAAAACAATTTTGAATAAAGTAGTATTTGACTTTGTCTTTGAATTTGATTCAAAACCAAGCGGTTTGCTTCTTTTTTAGGGTTCCGTAGTTACACAATAAGAAACCCTTATAGTTTCGCCATGTCCGTCCGTCCGTGGTTTTACTCAGAGACCCAAGGTGCTACAAAACTGTAATTTGGCATAGTTATAGATATTAATCACGCCACAAAAAGTGTGATATAAAAGCTTTAAAAACATTTTTTATTTTGATATTTCCCATACAAGTAAATGGAGGATGATTATTTCTTACCTGTCTATTCCATCGTATGGGGTATCACTGCATAGGTCTTTCAAAACACTGTAGGTGCGGAACAGCATATTTTCGAGTCGGGGGTCTGTTTACAAAATATTAAGCTTTAAATAGGTATTTTTCATTAGAGTCCTGTGTCCCCCCTCCCTCCCCTCTACCAACTAAACCGCTGTTTTTGGAAATGTGAAAAGTATACACGATAGTAGTATATATAATGAAGTTAAAATAAAACTATCACAGCTAAGTAGAATTTAGAACTTAACGAGTTATAGTCGACCAACTTATACAACGCACTTGGATAAGTAAAAATTTCGTTACAACTCCATAGAAAATATCCTAAAACTACCTGCATTATAACTCTGTAATGTTATTGTAAACATTTAAAAATAAACAGTTTATGATGAAAACGACTTATATGCATTACTACTATAGCTTTTCTTTTTCATTTGCGGGAGAGGCAGGGAGGATCTTTCTTACTTACTTACAACTTTCACTTCTTTTTTAGTTGGTAGTTATTATAGACCTCAATTCAGCTTGCAGCTTCATTCGTCAAACTCTTGGTTTATTTGGGCGACCTCAGGATTATATAGGGCAGTGGTGGTTTACGCGAAGGTTTGTTGAGGTCATATATTTATATCTTAGGGTTGCATATCCAGAAATATATAGATAGACAGTCAATTTTGATCATCTTTGTACCTTGGCATGTGAATTATTTGATATAAATTGTATTATTTTCAAAATAGAAAAGTTTTTTAATCTTTTTTGAATACCACTCCCTATATGTCAGGTTTGAAAATATGCCATTTTTAGTACTTTTTAGTCGTTATAGCGGTCAAACCGCTAACTCAATTATTATATTCAATATCAAGAAAGCCCACGTATTGTGACGGGCAACTACGGAACCCTACCTTTACATTGTGCGTGGCCCGACACGTACTTGGCTTGTTTTTTTATTTGTAATGGGTACAGCTAGGGAGTGAAATAATTTGCCAGCATCTGTCTTACAATCCGATTACAATATGGGTGTCTTCAAAACAGTAACTTTTGTTCAAAACAAAAGTTAATAGGCTTCTATTACGCTAGGGTAGTGTGATTTACCATCTAGGGCTTCAACGCCATTTACCAAGGGTTAAAGAAAAATGCATATGTATGCGTGAGCGCTTGTTCTTAAAATAAGTTAAGTAATTTTGGCTTGGTTTCGACGTCACTTGAAATCTTTTCTTTATCTTTCATTGTTGGCAAACGTATGAGAAAAACACAATGATTTAATCAATAATCGTGATCCACTTCGTTGCTAATACACATTGATAGCTATAAAGTGATTTATAAAAATAGTTCTGTTGATAACTTAATATCAAATTGTTATGTATTCATCAAGATATTTTTTTATTGTTGTATTATGTAATAACTTTCAGCTATAAAAGCGATAAATTCAATTGCTTTATTAAAATAATCTAAATTATACACAAAAGTTATTTCTACATCGAAATAAAAAATACCCTTTGGGTCGATTTACAATCTTCAGATAAAAGTTATTTTCAGGATAAAGTACAACATAAAATAATTAAAAATTACAGTTATCTAAATAAAATCGTTCCATTGTTTTACATTTGCATTCATTTGAGTTAGAATTTATTCGTTGAACTAGTTTTTTTCTAAGGCTTCACCCTCGTGAAATTATGAAAATGTCAGTATTCCGAATAATTTGAGCTTATGCCCAGCCAATGTATCTTCTCTCTCTTCTATATATAAGAGATTTCCACCTGTATACTGACTCATCACGATATCTCTGGAAACAAAGGGCTTGAAATGTGGTAGGAATGTTCCCTTCGGCGAGTAGAGGTCAGCTACGGATTTTACGAAATTCCATCCGTATACACCCAGTTGTGAGGGCGTTAATATAAACAAATACGTTTTCAAACTATAGCTTTTATAGGTATAAAACTTGGCCAGAATATCGTTTAACTGGGTCCCTGGATGGTTTAGATTCCGACCGTTAGGTGGCACCGTGGTCGAGATCCAAAAATCACCCGTGCGAAGCCGGGGCGGAGCAGTAACGGTAGAACTGTAATGAATTCTAATATTATGGTAATAGTGAAGTAGAAAAGTTCTTTACTGTACTCCTGAGCATGTTGCTAGACCTCACAAGTTATGAAAATAAAAGTCACTAGTTTACACACACCTTAATTTTTTTCTAAGACCTGCGAGTTTTACGTGTTCAATATTCTCACAAACAACATACCGCAAAATCGTAAAACGAAAAGGAAGGACTACGTACTAAATACCATTGTTTTAAATTCAGATCCTCGGACTTAGCAATGATCTTAGATGCTAAGAAAGTAAAATTTTTACGATTAATTGAAATTCACCATTAGATAAAGTAACTATATATTCAGACCACCTTAACTCCATAAATTTAAAATACAATTCGAAACGGAGTAAGAGGCAAATCATTGTTCAGCTTTCCAAAATGTATTAGTCATTTGAAATCCCAATAACATTTGCTATTAGTCACACTGTGTATTTCAAATGAGGCATTCCATCTTAGTTCTCAGGGAAGACAATGCATCTGCATTTTGATTCTTAATTGAGGATGAATGTAAATGTTTAAGCATCTAATTACAATCAGTGGAATAGGTACTTGTATGTCGCCTTATTTCTATTAAAAAAAACTCAGAGGATCCTAGCAAAGCTAAAACCCATAGTCATGACAAAGAAATACATTGTGTGATTCTTTTTTTTTTCTTTTTAAAAAACGTTACCACCACACTAGGATTTTCGCCTGTATCGTGGAGGCAGTTTACAAACATAAATTGCACGAGGACTAACATCCAGACCCGGAACAATTATTTGTAGGCCATACAAATACTTATTCCGTGTGGGATTCGAACCCGCGCCACCCAGCGCAACTCATTGCTAAGCCACTGCGCCACGGAGCCGTCAAATTAAGATTATGTGCGCTCACGCACTTACGGGCCTAGCATGTTGAATCTGTACTGCACTTTATCAGCACTGTATCACACCAAAATGGTGGATGAGCGTATACCAGCAGCGGCCGCACAGTTGTGATAAGGAATTCCCTTCTCGTTGTAGTAGATATTGTTAATTGGTGTATTAAGTTCCCTTCTCTCCCACGATGTGAATATTTAATATATAAGTATTATCAATTATGAGCATTACTTCAGTTTTGTATTACATAAAAGATACTCATACAAAATGTCAATGTTATTTATGATAATGTCAATTCGTGTCTTTACTGCGTTTCTAGAAGATACCGCATGTCATTCACATTGTATCAACATGATAAAAAATAATTATTTAACAATAAACCGTATAATCTCATCTTATCTTATCTACCTCACTTATATTTGTTGCTTTTGTTTAAAGTAGTTTGGGACAATTACGAGTAAATACACAAAAGAAGTTATGACGTAGATGTATAAATAAATTTTCTAGACATTTCGGTTGAAAAAGTATTCAATCATTAAACAAAGTAAGGTTACGATTGCTTTGTTATCGACCATGGACTCGTATAAATATTAAGTATAAATTAATTTTAATTATCAATCAGTTTGTGTAGGAGATAACTTAGTCAATTCATTAAAAAAATAATAGATAAACGAAACAAAGATTATTAGTTGAGCCGCATGCTCATTGATTATTGATTTATAGTGATTATGATTTCTTATATTTACGCGAACACTACACATTTTTAAATAAAACTAATTTTACGGATTTTATCGCGTATATTAACTTATTTTTATATTCCCGACGTTTCGCGTGCTTTCCAGCGCCCGTGGTCACGGGGTCTGAGGTGTTTGACGTCCTGCTGCCATAGTTAGCCCGGCTACCTTCAGTTTCTTAATATTAATTTTTGGTTCGATTTACGCAGAATGAGCTTACAGTATCTTGAAGTCTAGCAGTAGTATACTTGGGTTTGGATTTGATTTGATTAATTATGGGATCCCAAGCAGATGGCAGCACCCATCCATCTTCTCTATTGAAATTAGGATGTTTTTTAATTTCAATAGCCTCGCGAATCATCGTTGGGAGGAATCGGTGTTCTTTTGCGAGGATTTGTGGTCTATCAAATCTAATGTAATGGCGGGGACGATCTTGAACATGTTCACAAACTGCAGACTTCCCTATACGTCGGTGCTTCACGTCAGCTATATGTTCTTTAACGCGGGTTTTAATAGATCTTTTTGTTTGTCCTATGTACGAGAGACCACATTCACAATCCAGCTTGTACACTCCTGAATCTTGTAGACATATGGATATGACACTTGACGGATGGTAAAAATTGACCAATCTTCTTCAGCGGCTTGAAGTATGTTTTAATGGAAGCTCGCTTCAAGATGTAGCCAACCTTGTCTGTGACTCCTCTGACATAGGGTAGTACAGCAGGCACACGCTCGACTGTAGCTGGCTTCACTCGGTCACTATGACGTAGGCGCGGGACCCGAAGCTTATTGTCTTGCAGTACTTGCTGAAAGCACCCGAAACGTCGGGAATATAAAAATAAGTTAATATACGCGATAAAATCCGCAAAATTTGTTTTATTTAAAAATTATAGTGATTACTTAAAGTGAACTATTATACTCGTACTATTTTATTTGATCGCTAACTTTGTCGAGCACAGAGTTTATCAAAGACCACGTTATACAGTAAAAGAACTCTTTTGATGATGACGAACGTCGTCTTTAGTAAAATTTTAAAGATCCACTGAAATTTAACTACTACTTATGATATAGATAATAAAACTTGGTGTTTATAAAACAAAAATATAAAAACGACAGCTTGAAAAATTTTACATGCCTATAGTGCACTTGATCGATTCTTTAACATTAACAGGCCAACGTTTGACCAGGATTCTGCCATATGTTAAGTCTTTTTTTTATACAAATAGGAGGCAAACGAGCATGCGGCTCAACTACTGATAAGTGACTACCGCCGCCCATGAACAACTGCTACACTAGGGGAATTGCAGGTGCGTTGCCGACTTTAAAAAAAGAGTAGACTCCTCTCTTGAAGGCCTCTAAGTCGTATCGATTCTAAAAAATTACTGCCGGTAGTGGATACCACAACGAAGTTGTGCGAGGAAAGAAACTTCTGTTAAATCGCGTGTATGGTGGACCGCCAATCATCCAAATGATATGGTTAGTTCGCGAGTATTGTGATAGATGGGTTAAAATATGCAAAGGGATGCGAGATCTCTTCGCAGCGCCAGTGAGTCAAGCCGATCAGAAAGAACTCGGTCGTTGAGGATTTGATGCGGAGAGAAAGGAGATGTCACTGAGGTTCCCCAGCCTAGAGATGAGAACAGTATTCCATGTGAAGCCGAACTTGCGACTTATAAAGTTGCATACGGCGTGCTAGCATGAAATACTGTCGCGCTCTACAAAGCCCGCTATGCTTTAAATAGGCCGATTTGGCCTTAATTTGTAGCGGACCATGACACTAAACCACATTCGATATTTCGACACCAAGGGTTCCAAACCTGGCTGAAGCAAAAATGGTAGTGCCTTAAAATAGAGAAGATGTTGTTTTTAGGGTAATAGGTGGGTCTTCACTGCTCAATATGAGGTAAGTACCTTATATCCTCGACTGTAACCATTTTAGCTTACAAAATGCCAATTCACTTTTTGCCTTGAAGAGTTCCCAATTGTAATGATTAGAAAAAACTGACCCGAAAAAGGGATTGTAATTCTCCCTTGTGTATTGTATTGCGATGTGAAAAAGCGATGAAGCTCTGTGTACGTCAGTAAACAAGATTAAGATTAAATAAATCCGCTTGGACTACGTCGTGTCGTTTAATGACAAAAGAAGGATGGATGATATAAAAAAGTGCAACTGTTTGGCACACTTTCTGAGAATAAACCAGCAGGGAACTACTAACTATGTGCTTATTGTCGTAACTGCTCAAAAACATTACTTCGTAATGTGTTCTCTGCACATTTTTCGAAACAACTGAATATTGCTATCTTATTTATTATGCTTATGGATGGCGTACCCAGGCAGAATCTATATACAGCTAATGTGTAGGCGTAGTTAATAGTAATTGCAAGGAAGTGGAAGAAGTACGATCGTATTTCACTTTTGTACATATCTAAGTGTTCCCCGTATATTAAATCACCGTGTAGTGGCGGATAAGAATACCAACTGCCCTATATCATGTGTGTCATTAAAGGTGACAGAGGAAAACTGAGGCAGAAAATGGACAGCATCATCATTCTGATAACAGCAAAAAGCAATAAAAACTAAGGTCGAAGTTGTTGACGAATATGTTTACCTGGGACAAATAGACCGACTAAGTAAGTCCAACGTCAACCGAGAGGTCAATCGATGGATTCAACTCGGCTGGGCAGCGTTCGGGAGATTACGCCACATCTTCTCGTCAGGCATACCTCAAAACCTTAAAACGAAATTGTACAACCAGTGCGTGTTGCCAGTGATGACTTACGGATGTTAGACGTGGTTCTTCACTGCTGGCCGTATGAGGACGCTCAAAGTCGCTCAGCGGGCTATGGAGAAGGCTATGCTCGTTTTCCTGCGTGATAAACTTAAAAACGAGGATATCCCCAGTAGAACCAGAGTAACTGACATAGCCCAAAGGATTAGTAAGCTGAAGTGGCAATGGGCCGGCCATAAAGCTCGAAGAAATCACAACCGATGGAGAAAAAATGTTCTCAAATGGTAGCTTCGTACCAGCAGGCGAAGTGTAGGGCGTCCCCTCACTAGATCTAGTGACGATCTGTTAAGACATGTAGGAAGTCAATGGATGCAGGTGGCTCGGGACCGTGCTTTGTGGCATTCCTTGGGGGAGGCCTATGTTCAGCAGTGGTTTTGTGAAGGGCTGTAATGATGATGGTGATGTACCTTAGAGCGTTTTGCCAAAGATCAATGATTTTTTTTATTGAATAAGGGTGACATATGAGTCCACAGTTCCACCTCATGGTAAGTATATTTATTTTATCCTCAATTTAGGATCAAAATGCTGATGCGCTGTCATTACTGAGGACCAAGATATAATGCGTCGTTTACAGTAAAAAGTTCTTCACTTCTCTACACTCACCATATGAAACACAGCAGCATTAAGCTGCTATTTTATGCTAGTATTCATGATGTGTGATTCATGATGATGAACTGACTGCAGTCCTTTGTTCCTGAATGTGTAACGAGGCTTAAAGTCGCTTTGCTAGCTATAAAAAGAGGTTATGCTCATAGTTTTAGAAGTTTAGAGTATGGAATCCATAACAGATTTACCTACATTAGAATCAGAATAACCGACATGAACCAACGAGTAACAAATCTGAAGTGATAATGTGCTAACCATGTAATTATTTAAATAATTCAGAATTGACAACCGGTGGAAAAGAAAGGCTTCGGAATGATAAGTCTTATGCCAGCAATCAAGACGGTCCCCTCGTTAGATGGATTGGCAACCTGGTAAGGCTTGTAGAATCGCGATGGATACAGATGGACCATGACAGTGTTTTGTTAAAAAAATTTTGGCAGGATTATTTCAGCTATGGACTTGTAACAGACTTTAATTAAGCTTATTACTTCTTTGTACAAGTGAAGAGACAAAGCGAACTTACAGATGGAAAAGGTCTATAAATCATATCAGCGTGGTTTTGACATTGTCATAGATTGGCTAACACAAAATGGTATCATGCTCAATGTTGATAAAACAAAGCTTATGACATTAAGTATTCGGTCTCCAAAACTACCTTCTAATCTTAAAGTAATATCCCACAGTCATTCTGATAACAATCTGTCTCACAAAACAAACTGTGACTGTCCTAGTCTGGGTTCCATTCTCTAAAATATCTGGTTATAATTTTTGATGATATACCCAGTTTCGATCTTCACGTAAGCACAGATTAGTTAATAGTTTACTAAAACGTAAGCTTGTTGTCTAGCAGGGTCCGAATTTTCTCTTTGTAAAATTATGTTTAAACGCCTGAGACTTGTAACCTTT